ATGTTCCATTCTTGGATTTTCCCAAAATATTAGTCCATTTTTTTTTTTATATATATATATATATATATATATATATATATATATATATATATATATTTATATTATTTTACTAGCTGTTTGTGAGTGAATTAGTTGTTAGTTTGATTTTAGCAGCTGGCCAATTAAGTTCATTTGGTAGATGTCATATTTTGATTCATAATATGATATCATATTTGATTTTCTATACGGAATTATCACTTTTGGTTCATGTAGCCGACCCCACTTCTGGGATTAAGGCTTTGTTTGATTGAGTTAGATATCATATTTTCCCTCCATTTCATATTGTTCTATCCACTTTTCAAGGTTTACACCCTCTCACCTTTTTACCCCATGCCTTTTACTTCAATTACCTATTTGGCTATTTCTTACACCCACTCACCCTGGTTCAAAAATGCGGTCATAGTAGTCTAGTAGATTGAAATCTGAGGTGCTTTGTCAAAAAAAAAAATAAAAAAAAAAATAAAATCTGAGGTGATGTGGTTATTTTGACGTGAATGTGGTTTAAAAGTATTGTTTTGGAATTTCAATTTGTACTTACAAATCATGATTTAGGAACCGATAAGAGCATAATAGTAACAAAAATCTAGTATATTCCTGTATATATTTAAGGTTTATAGCCATTATTAGAGTATTGAGTCAGTTAAGCTGAGTCCTTGTCTAAAAAGCTAGGTATTAAAGTGGTAGCGCCAAATATTAGTTGAGATCATAGTTTTTTGTTGACATGGGCTACAACTTGGTCTATTGCTAAGATCGATACAATGAAGAAAATATCGGTGATATCTATTTGAAAATCGTTAAAACTCGGCCCATATGTTATCTTGTGGCCAAGTTTTAACACCATGCTACTCGGTCTCCTTTATTTAGCTAACTTAATGAGTAGAATTTTAAAAACAGCAGAATATTATTTTATGGAAAGGTTTTCAATTAATTTTAGATATTGAAGCATGTATGGATAAAAATTATGAAGTTTTACTTCCAAAAGCTTGCCTTTCTTTGTTTCTTGTTTATTTTTATAAGCACTTGCTAAAATATCAGTTTTTGCTAAAACCTTATGTTGAAAGCATAATTAGGGCTACTAGTGCTGTTCTCTCTTGGAAATATTAACAAGTGTTGCAGAAGTTAGCATCAGTTGTTTTAAAGGTCGTATTAACATCATAAACTGGGTTTCATGCAATATATTGACATTTGACACCTCTTATGTGGTGGCGATAGTTCTCTCACTAAATAGGATTTCACGACTATCACAAGGGAGCTAGTTGAGGTTGAATTGAAGATTGTATATTGATTAGGGTGGAAGCAGTGTGTTGGCCTTGGTTGTGTTTAAGCTTAACAGATATTGAATGATGTTCTTTTGGGTTTTCGATCTTATTGAGTAGCAATAATGCAGAATTGTCTGCTATTCCTTCCCTTTCCTTCGTCTATTCTTGAGGTTAACATGCTCATTTTGACAATCTTCCTTTCCCAAAAGTTGGTAACATTTTAGATTAGTTATCAGGAGCTATGTTTATCTCTCGCTCACACTACTGACGTAGTTGCTTGGTGAATTTACTCATGTTTTGGGTTGTGTTCTGTAGAAACCTTCATCAATGTTTGGATAGAGTATAATGGGAAGACGTCCTCTTTTTTAAGTGATCAGTTTATGAGTTGATGTGAATCTACATATTTGTTGTTGATATGGTGTTTTTAGTAGTATGTGTCCATCCAGTAGTTATCATTCCAAACATAATGAGCTTGCTCCTGATTAGGCTTCAGTCTGTGGCTGTTGCTGACATTTATCATGTTTTGGGTGTAAAAAACACAACATTGCTTTCTATTTACAAGGGAGAATCGATGATACATTCAAAGTATCAATTTAAACCATTTGGAGTAAAAATTAGTGTGTGGCCCAGGCAATACTTCAGGTCATCCAGTCTAAGTTAAATATATTTGAGCTAAGTATGGAAACATAATTGATAGATAGCTAAGATGTAGGACTTCTAATACATTTTTTTGGTGGTATTGAGCTGGAACAGTACCATTGGCATTTTGTTGTAATGAAAACATGTTCAATAGTGGTGGCATGTAAACTTTCTTAGGAACGTTTTTTTTTTTCAGATGTAATAGTATATATACATATGGAGGATTCTCTTAGTAAAGATCTTGACGAATTAGTTGGAGTTTTTCATATCAAGATTTAAAACAGAAATGTTTGCTTTGTATTAAAGCTTCTTAATTGTGTATGCTGCATTTGTTAAGAGTTGTCAAAAGATAGTATATTACCTCTGTCTTCTGACTTAGTGTGTGAGTACTAACTGTATGTTGGCAAGGAAGACGATAATTGTATGAAGTTCAATTAACAAATGAGCAACAAGCCAAAAGCTCTGGAATGTGCTAGAAATTTTTTAAATTTTATATCTCATAGCTGTATTTAAGACCCTTGATTGTGCTGGGAAAGTTTTGAATCCTTTTTATCTCATAGGTTTTTGTGATCTGACAAAAAGCGTGTTTTTGGCTGCCTTTCTTTTCTTAGCTTTAGTGCGTTTTATATCTTGTGTATGTTCTGGTGTTTCTCTACTAGAAGGAACTGTTCTATCCCCAGTTGATAAACTTTTAACATGAGTATGTGCTTGGGGTTCTTTACACATTTTTTTTCACATGTCATTAAATTTGGAATTGGTACTGGTAAACAGTAAGCTTGTTCTGTTAACTGTTAGGGCCTTTCTTATACTATCCATATTATCCGGGATAAAGGACATTAATTTTTCTGCTCTTGCAGATATCACTACAATGTTGCCGATGCTAGGCTTAAACAACACATCGACAAGGGAAATGAAGATGGATTGTATATCAGTTGTGTGGCCTCAGCTACTAACCTGTGGGCCCTAATAATGGATGCGGGAACTGGTTTTAATTCTCAAGTGTGGGAACTATCAAACGTCTTCTTGCATAAGGTTTGAAATGCGTGAGCTTAAAGGTTTCTTGTTTCCACTGCAGATTTTGACTCTGTCTGAAATCTAATCATTTTCTGCTTTTATATTTGATCTTATTAGGATTGGATCATGGAACAGTGGGAGAAGAATTTCTATATTAGCTCGATAGCTGGTGCATCCAATGGAAGCTCTTTGGTGGTTATGTCTAAAGGTAGTTTGCCAGTATTTGATTCCTCTCCCCTCCATATTACCACAAACAGCGAAGGCAAAAAATATTTAAGGGTAAATTATCTAATATGATTCTGAAAACTATTGTGTTTTCTTGAAATCTAGGGACTTCTTACACTCAACAGTCATATAAAGTGAGCGATTCATTCCCATTCAAGTGGATTAATAAAAAGTGGAAAGAAGGATTTCATGTAACTTCTATGACAACGGCTGGTAGTCGTTGGGGAGTAGTAATGTCTAGAAATGCAGGATTTACTGATCAGGTATGACCTTATTCCCCAGAAGCTAATTCTTTCCTAGTTTGTGAACTTCCTATGTAATTTAAATCTGACTAATAACAATTTATGGAAAGGTTGTCGAGCTAGATTTCTTGTATCCAAGTGAAGGGATACATAGGAGATGGGAGAGTGGCTACAGAATAACTTCCATGGCTGCAACGCCCGATCAAGCAGCCTTTGTGCTGAGCATTCCAAAGCGTAAAACGACAGATGAAACGCAAGAAACTTTGAGAACCTCTGCCTTTCCCAGTACTCATGTAAAGGTGCCTACCTCTTATAATTCAATTTTTACTTTGTGTTATTCTATAGTTTTGAAGTATTAGAAACTATGACTTTCAAATGAATTAGCATGAACCTTGCATAAGATAAAAGAGTTTGAGCCATTCCTGTTTAAGTTGCTGATGTGACTATTCCAATGTTCTTCTTTCGGTAGATTTTACCGAGTATCTAATACCGTTTCAGTCTAATTTGTTAGATTTATACTGAGTATTTATTTTCGTTTCCTTCTCCTTTGGCAGGAAAAGTGGGCAAAAAATCTTTATATTGCTTCAATATGCTATGGCCGGACCGTGTGCTGATTTTGTAGCATGTACATATCTCACTGAAGATTTTTAAGTGCGCTCTCAAAAGGCTGGAACGGGCGCTAACAACTGCTATTTTGGGTGTTAGAGGGTGATGAGCCTCTTCTCAACGTCCTGGGGGTATACAGGCTTCCAAAATGATTTACCCTCCTGTATTTGTAAAAGGTATCCGTATATATACCATTTGAGAGATAGGGAACCAGAAAAATGGCTAAAAAGCGTTCATAAATTGGAAGAATGCGACCTGGAAGCCAAGATGAGTTAGAGGCTGTAAAATTCTGCCTGAAAAAGACCAACTGATATTCAAGATGGAAATGGTATTTTGTTGTTTCATATAAATGGGAGAAGAAATTCCAGCAGAGATTATTTTCACTGTAACTCCTAATCTGCTGGAATCTATTTGGTAATGAAAAATCTTTCTTTAATGTTAAACATTCTTGCCTTGATAGTTTGCTTATAAAAGCTTGAAACCATGAATTTACCGCGAAAAATATCCAGTCTTGTCCTCATCTTTTCAGCATCTTGCCCGGACTACTTAATCTCAACCTGTATTAATATTTCAATATATAAGCTGTGTGCGAGAAGGCTGATCCAACACATATCAACCCGAGGATGTTTGTCGAATACATATATAGGAAATAATAACCGAACCAATTAATTACCGTCCTTCAAAAGCAAAGTATCGATTGCTGGACAGAGATGAGGAATTGTGGTGCAAATTGGTAAAAAAAATAGCACTTTCTAGACAATGCAGTTTTTCGTTTGCTAGGTGTTTTGCACCCATGTAATCCACTTTACTTGGTGAAAAATGGTGCGCTAAATTGGTCAAATTGTCAATAAAGTGTTACAGAGAACTTGCTGTTTGATGTGAATGACTTGCATATTTGTAGTGGTCGACTTTATTCCCTTAAATAAGCATCTATGAAATGTTAGATTGGCATAATTTGTAAGAGAATTGGGAAAAAATGGCCTTGCTAGCTTCACTATTTGTAGCTATTCTCTTACACCTCTCATGCAATCCTTCTCTCGGTTGCCCTTCGCAGCAAAAACAAGCACTTCTTCAGTTCAAACACACTCTCCTCACACAACTGGCACTAAATGATTCTCCCAATGCTTCGCTTGCTGGGTTAGAGACCTGGGATTCGAGCTTGGACTGTTGCGAATGGGAACTAGTAACTTGTCATTCTTCAAGATCGCTATCTAAACAAGTAACTGATCTTAATCTTTACTCTCTTCTCCCCTCACTTGCATATTCAAATAATAAAACATTGGGTGTTGTTTCTTCACATGTTTTAACTCCTCTTTTTAGCATAACAAGTTTGTTGTCTATTGACTTATCATTTAATATCATTATTGGGGGTGAAATCCCAGTCTCTGGGTTTCGAAACTTGACCAATCTTGCTCATTTAGACCTTAAAATGAACCAATTTAATGGTTCAATCCCTGAAGAAATGTTTTCTTTAAGGAACTTACAGTACCTTGATATGAGTAGCAACTCATTTGTAGGTACTCTGAGTTCTGCAGTAGGCGGTCTAAGAAACTTGAAGTTTCTGAATCTAGATGAGAATTTCCTGCATGGAAATATCCCAGTAGAGATCGGATACCTTGCTAAACTACACACATTATCACTTCGACAAAACCAATTCTCTGGTGGGATTTCATCCGCGTTGCTGAATATGATTGAGTTGGAGGTCTTAGACTTGCGCAATAATTCTTTCACTGGTGAGATTCCGCCTGATATTGGTAATTTAGCAAAGCTTTCGACACTGGCCTTGAGCAGGAATTCCCTGACAGGAGGAATTCCTGGTTCAATCCAAATGATCAGTAATCTCACCACCCTTGAGTTGAATAATAACTTATTATCAGGAAGAATTCCTGCTTGGTTGTTTGATTTGGAAATGCTGAAGATTTTAAATCTTGGAGGAAACAAACTTATGCTAGATAACCCTGCGAAACTGGTTCCAAAGTGCCGGTTATCTTTGCTAGTTTTGAGGTCTTGTGGACTAAAAGGCCTAATTCCTCGGTGGATTTCGGATCAAATAAGCTTGGATTTTTTAGACCTTAGTGAGAATGAGCTTGAAGGCGGCTTCCCTCTTTGGCTAGCAGAAATGGAGATTGGAAGCATCATTCTGTCAGACAACAAGCTATCTGGTTCACTGCCACCAAGATTATTTCAATCAAAGAGTCTATCCGTCCTCGCTTTAAGTAGGAATAACTTCTCAGGGGAGCTGCCTGAAACAATTGGAGAGTCTCAGCTTCTGATACTAATGCTATCAGACAACAATTTCTCTGGCCAACTGCCTCAATCATTGCCAAACATTTACAGGCTTTTGCTCCTCGACTTGTCAAAAAACAGTCTCTCAGGTAACAAATTCCCTACTTTTAACCCAGACTTTTTCCTTGCATTCATTGATCTTTCTTCCAATAGATTCTACGGTGAAATCCCCACCGGGTTTGGCCCGGGTGTGATAATTCTTTCTCTAGGTGAAAATCGGTTTTCTGGTCCACTTCCTGAGAATCTAACAAACTTCACTCAGCTGAAGCACCTTGATCTTCATGACAATAACATCTCTGGAGAAATCCCATCATTCCTGTCTAGTCTTTCCTCACTTCAAACCTTAAGCCTTCGAAACAACTCTCTTACAGGATCGATTCCTAGTGATCTTGCAAACCTTACGCGTCTCCAAATCCTTGATCTTTCCAACAATAAGCTTGTTGATGACATCCCTTCAAGGCTTGGAGACTTTCCTGGCATGATCAATCCTCCTGATACATCCACTCTATCGTCTGCTTTGTTTAGCTTCGATATTAAATTCCAGGACCTGATAGTGAACTGGAAAAGCTCCAAGCAAGGTTTATCTAAATACAACCTTGATTTCTACTCTCTATTAGACCTATCAAATAACCAACTCACAAACCAGATTCCGAGTTCATTAGGAGGCCTTGAGACGCTCAAGTTACTAAATCTTTCCCACAACGCCTTCCAAGGAAGTATTCCATCTAGCTTTGGTGGTCTGCAGAATGTCGAGACCTTAGATTTGTCACATAATACTCTCTCAGGAGGAATCCCAGTAACATTTACCAAACTACAACAGCTGACTACTTTAGATTTGAGCAACAACAAGCTAAAAGGAAGGGTTCCGGAAAGTCCTCAGTTGGATACTCTGAATGATCCAAACATATATGCTAATAACAGTGGGTTATGTGGGGTGCCTATACGTGTGGCTTGTCCTGATGATGCAGAACCTGCAGTTAACGAGTCAGAGGAAGAGCGCGAGGAATCATTTTCATGGCAGGCTGCTGGTATAGGTGTTCCAGTAGGATTTATAATAGTAATTTCAAGTATGTATATTGCTGGTTTTTTCAATATCAGGACTAATCGTCGTAGCTCTAATAGAGCAAGATCTAGAAGCAAGAAGTAGCCTAGCTTCTTGCCTGATGTTTCCTATATATGCATATGGTATATCAATATTGGAGTAACATGGACATTTTTCTGTCCTTGTTCTCTTTATTTGGGTATATACTTAATTTGTTCCTTTTCATTGTCATAATTGCTTCGTATGAACAAGCAATTACAGAACAAGAAATGTATCATAAGTTATGGGAAATTTTCCATAACGATATATAAATGCATGTTAGTTTATTACACCCTCTTAAGTATTAGTAGGAGGGAACCTTTGAATTATTCCAAGTATGTTAGGAAAAAAAAGAAGTTATGATGGATTTTGTTTAATTTGTCTCAATTAATATAAATTTGAAATTTTATAATTTATCCAATACCTAGTTAGAGATATTGTTAGTAAAAAATATAGATTAACAAATATGAAAATACTATAAATCTTTTTTTTTTTTTTTGTGGGGTGGGTGGGGGAGGGGGGTTGGGAGTAGGGGTGAAAGTTCGGTTTTCGGTTTGGTTTATGGCCCAAACCGAAACCGAACCACTCTAATTCGGTTTCGCGATTTTAGAAACCAAACCACACCACTTTACTTTAGAAACCGAACCAAACCAAACCGAATAAATTTCGGTTTCAAAACAAAAAACCGAACCACAACGAATTGTTTTTGGGCCTTTTTTTTGGGCTTTATTCTGCTATTTTTGATATCTTAAAGCCTTAAACAGCAAGGAGCATGTAATACATTAATAGCAAGGGCTTAAACAGCATAATAGATTAATAGCAACCTGAACATGTAAATAAAGCAAGGCAGACAGGCAGTAGGCCCATTAGCAATGCATGTCAAGTTGTCAACAACTCAACATCACAACATTCACAAGTCACAACAATACAACATTAAAAGTTCTAATTCAAAGTTCTAACTTCTAAGAATTCAACACTTCATCCAAAAAAAAAAAAAGTGTTCAACATTACAACTACAGCAGTAGCATAACAATATCAGCAGCAACATCATAAGATTCAGCAGCAGCATAGAGGGAAAATCTGCAGCAGCAGCATAGAGGGAAAGTCGGCAGGCAGCAGCATAGAGGAAAGGCAGCAGGCAGCAGCAAGTTAGCACAGCAACAGCAAATTAGCAAAGAGCCCACATCAGTCTATTATTTGCACTTCATCAATATCAGCATCACTAATTGCCATATTCTTCAAATCTATCATAATTCATAACAAAAATAACCAAGTTAATATATATATACATAAATGAAAATATGTAAATTTTGATTAGATATTCTTATATATTACCTTCTTCAAGCAGCTCAACTTCCTCTAAACATTCTTCAATACTTGGAAATGGTGAAGCACGTAACCAATTTTGAGCACAAACAAGATCTTCTACAACTCGGGGAATTAATGAGCTCCTAAACTGATCTAGAACTCTGCCACCAGTGCTGAATGCACTCTCAGAAGCTACTGTCGAAATAGGGACAACTAGAACATCACGGGCAATTCTCCCCACGGTAGGAAACCTTGAACAATTGAACTTCCACCAGCTTTAACACATTTTTCAACTTTCGTTTTTCAGTTAAATATGTTTCAAAACAATCTTTGGCTACTGTAATGCGAGAAGGAACATTAAATATAGGTTCCATTACACCACAAAAGTGTCTAAAACCTATACCTTCTACAAACTTAAATGGAAGTTCATCAACAATCACCATAAATGACAAAGCTTTTCTAATACTACCAGCATCAAATTTATGGTATGTCAACCCACTAGTACTACCACTTGGTACTTTAGCACTTTTGAATGAAAGCAAACTTTGTTTTGAATCTTTAGGGGTGTTTAAGGGATACTTACGACATCGCAAAATATGAGCCCATAACACACTGGTGCCGTTTTTCTTTGCCCCACACTTGTAACTCATTCCACAATACTTGCAAATTGCCTGCCTTCCAGAAGCCAAATCTTCTTTAATAAAGTGCTCCCAAACTTCAGAGCGCTCTTTCATCCTCTTCCTTTTTGCTCCCTGTTCTTTATTCTGATTTTCTGAGACTTGGTCAGTCTCATGTTCAGACTGAGGCTGGTCAGGAGCACCACCCACATTGGTTTCCATTGGCCTAGGACATAAATAAAACCAAATTAATAGAGCAGAATGCAGAATTTTCAATGCATCAGAACAACATCACAACACAGCAGAACAACATCACAAGTTCACAACAACACAGCAGCAAAAGAACAACATCACAATTCACAACACATGCATCCATGTAGTCTTAACCATTTCTTTGAAAATACAGTTACATTTCTTTGAAAATGTACACTGTAAATAGCTATGAAACTAATACAGAGTGTATCTGCAACTACTTAGGCCTAGTGTAGCATGTAGGCTGTAACAAAGTATTTCGCAAATAAAACATAAACGAACATTGCCTCACAAACAACATCACAATTCATAAGTTCACAATCAACAATCGAGTGTATATTCACCCAAAGATACTAGAGAATTCAAGGGAAGGAATAGCCGAACATATCTGAATTTTTTTATTAAATTGTACATGTAAATTGTAATTTTATCATGATTCAAACTCATCTTTAATAATCATTTTCGTAATTAACACTACTCATAATTAAAACCTTAAGAAATTAACTTTCATTTTCCAGATTTGAACCAAGTAAATGCTTAATCGCAAATATGAAAAATTACCTTTGGACGGCAGGACGGTGGAGGAATGGACGGTGGAGGAATGGACGGTGGATGCTGGACGCCTGGACGGTGAACGGTGGTGGAATGGACGGTGGAATGGATGAGAGTTTGAGACTTAGGGTAAGAGGCTGAGAGCGTGGAGGATTCAGACTTTCAGAGGAAAACGCAAATAGATTAGGTTTTTTTTTGGGTTTATATACTTAGGGTAAATTGGGCCTAATATTTCGGTTTTATTCGGTTTTTTCGGTTTTTAATTTTCTCAGACCGAAACCGAACCGAAAATCGATTTTTTTTTTAACAAACCAAACCGAACCACTTTAGGAAAAAAAACGAACCATATTTCTTATTCGGTTTGGTTTTCGGTTCGGTTTGGTTTTAAACCGAATTTGTTTCACCCCTAGTTGGGAGGGGGTTTAGAGAGCTTTAAGCTAAGAGTGGGGGTGAGAATCAATCCCATAATCTCTTGAAGGCAGGAGGAAAGCTCTAACTACTTGAGCTATCTCTCACTCTCTGATAAAAGTCGTATTTGGTCATTAACAATCTTTTCAGAACAGTGATACGAAATATTAAAACAAAGGAAAATTTCACCCAATGCCCCTGAGTTATTTTTTTATTCACCATATATCCACAACAATTTTCAAATTCACCGTATACACTTGAGTTTGACAAAATTGTCACCAAATGTCCTTAATGACTAACAACGTTAACCTCCGTTAGTCATTAAAACTAAATATGCCACGTGGCATGCTGGGATTGGTTTTCTTTTAATTTTTTAATTTAATTAATTAATATAATTATAATTAATAATAAAAAAAACTAAAAACTTAAAAATAAAAAACCCAGCCACCTCCCTTCCCCCATCAACCTATCCCCCTGCCAGCCGACCACCGGTGTTCACCCCCTCCTTCGCGCCAGTGCCGACATCCACCCCTCCCTCCGTGTCGGTGTCGGCGTGATCCTTCCCTCTACAACCCCCTCCCTCCTCTATTCCCCACCACGACAAACACCAAAAAAAACCCCAATCCAAAACCCTCTCTTCTCTCCCTAAAAAATCCACCCCATCGCCGGCGTCCAAGAACCCCTCTCCGCACCGGTGAACCTAAATCGCCCTTCCCCCTCCCTGAACTACCATGAAAAAACCCCAAAATCAAAATCTAGGGTTTCGGTTTGGGGATTTCGATTTTGGGGTTTAATTAAGGTGTTGAGGATGGTGGTTTAAGGGGGGGAAAGTGGTTGGAGATGGTAGGGGGATGAAAGAACAAGCTTCGCCAACGTAGGGGATGGAGTTTGGGGGCTAGCTGGCGTCGGCTAGGCACCATCGGGAGGAGAGAAAGGTTTTTTCGAGTTGTGAGTGGGGTTTTAGGGTTGGGGGAAGGTGGGTTTGGGAAGGAGAAGGGCGGCGACAGGGAGGGGATTGGCTACCAATGTCGGTGTCGTCAATGGGGGTAGGGGGGATTGGGGAGAGTGGACGGCGCAAGGGTTCAGGTAGCTTCCACGGCGACTGGGGCTGGGCTGTGGTGGTGGGTGGGTTTTTTATTTTAATTTATTTTAATTTTTTGATTATTAATTAAATTTATTTTAAAATTTAAATAATATATAAATGACAACCAATTATAGGTTGCCACGTGGCATATTAAGTCTAAATGACTAACGGAGTTAACGTCCATTAGTCATTTGGGCATTTTGTAACATTTTTATAAATTTAGGGACATATGGTGAATTTGAAAATTGTTGTGGGTATATGGTGAATAAAAAAATACTCAGGGGCATTGGGTGAAATTTCTGTAAAAAAAATAAAAAAATAAAAAAACCTTCCTCTTGTATTATAACTAGTTAATGCCCGAAATTTTTTTTTTTTTTTAACAATAATTAAATCATCTTGCATAGTTAGGGCTTGTTCACTTTAGCTTAATTTCAGTTCAGTTCAGCTTCAATCAGTTCAATTCAGCTTCTAATTTCTTTCTCTTATAAAATATTCATTTTATCTTTATTCAGTTCATTACAGCTCCAATCAGTTAAGTTTGTTTCAGTTCAGTTCAGTTTAGCTCAGTTCAGTAAATGTGAACATGCCCTTAGTTTGTCAATAAATGGAATATCAATATGTAACAATTAGGTTTTTTGTTTTTATTTTTTTTAACTCGGTCAAATTGAATAGAGGATTGTGTATGTTACTATTAAAATTTTCTATCTTATCATTTACCTTGATAAAATTAACATCTAGTTACTGATTGCTTTTAAATGTCAACGTCAATTGGTTCAAGCTTTAAAACTAACTTCAAATTATTTATCTAAAAAAAATAATAGCATAAAAATGTGGTTGGCGAGAAAATTTCTATGTGGTGTTAACATGTATGACCTACGAATGATTTTGAGATTACTTTAGTATAATAGTGCCAGTGGCGGACCTAGAAATTTGACAATGGGGGAACAATTTCGATAATTCAACTAACATCAACATGCTTTTTAAAAAACCGGGTATACAATAAAAATAATTCGGGTACATACTTGACTACTTGTTTAATACTAAAAAGTTACAATTCCAAAATCCATTAAATAATACAATTCGGTTACATACTTCTAAAATATCATCCGAGTCTTCATTTTTTGAAATCGATCAATGGTATCTTCATCGGGGACTTGTAAAAACACTTCTTTCTCAATGAAAGTAACCAAACAATCATTCATAAGTTGATCACCCATACTATTTCTCAATTTTTTTGATATATGTCATTGCCGAAAAGACTCTTTTAACACTTGTCGTAGCAACGGGAAAAATCAACATTAACTTGATAAGCAAATGAATAAGAGGATAAGTCTCATGCAACTTGGTTTTGACAAAGAGAATTAATGTCATGCAAATCTCGAAAATCCGCTTGTTTTTCCATTGTCCTAGACTTGCTTGAAGAACTTTACATATCCTTATTCATTTAAAAATTAAGCTTCCATATTCAATAATCATGTTTTTAACAATAAGCATCCAAAATCTAAAAAACAAAATCATCACAAACTAATTCAATACACAAAGTTACAAACTAATACATATTAATTAAATTAACAAACTACTTGTCTACTTTCAAAGTTTCAATCTTCCATTCACCAAGCAATTCACAAATTCACAATTCAATTCACAAACTAATAACAAATAAACTAAATCACAAATTAATTAAAAAAAACATGATTACATAAACACAATTACTCATAAACTAATTCTTTAATTTTTTTTATAATCTAAGATAAAAATTAGGAAATAAAAAAAATGACTTGTGGCAGAGTGGGCTGCGGAGCGGCGGGGCTGGGCTGGTTATAGTGGCATGGTGGCGGCGAGAAGTCCGGTGGTCGCTGCCTTGGTGGTGCGGTAGTCAGTGCCTCGGTGGTGCAAGATCTACTTTCTCTCTCTTAGGTTTTCTATTTTCAAACTTTCCTCCCTTTTTTTTCTGAAATTTTTTTCTTCCCTTCTTTTCTTAACCCACGTGATGTCTTCAGTCTTGCTAATTTCTCTTTTTTTAAAAATATTACTCTGTTTTTTTTTTTTTTGAAAGTGGGGGACAATGTTCCCCCTTGTCCTCACGTGGGTCCGCCCATGGTAGTGCAGATAAGTACTGTATCTATATAATAACAATTTTTCTCGTGTGGGATACATTTGTCGTGGAATGGGAAGACCCCAGTGTGCTAATTATATGCACAAATAACCATGTAAGTTGGCCTCGGGATATATATTCGAGAAAACCTTTCGATGTTTAATAGATGAGCAAAGAGTGATGTGGTACTGGTAATGGTTGCTAGCTTAGGAGTGCAAGTACAATAACTATGAATTAGTATAGATCCTATTTGGAAATATTAACGGTAATTGATAGCTTTTAGCGGTTGAGTAGGGAATAGTTGTCAATTAGTAATAGGTAGAGTTTAGCTGTCAAAGTAATAATTGATAGTATCAGTATGAGTATTTGGCAAAAGAAGTTGTTTTGGGTATTTTTGTCCCTCGGGAGAGTTACAACACGAAGGCTGATCCGGTGCGGCCTGTACCTGCAAAACAAACGGAGACACTGGTTGGGTGGTGCTCCGCCTCCGACGAACAAGTTAGTAACTTGAAGGGAGAGAAAAAGGTGCGGAAATTTAGGTGGGTATCTGCTCGGATTCCAAGCTCAGATGTCTCTATCACAGGGACAATTTGTAATAAATGGTAAAACGTGCCCTCCAAAAGAGGGGAATCTCCCTATTTATAGGGTCCTCGGGATTTGTGCCCCTGATTAGGTCACTGAACCCTAATCATTGGTGGGCTGCGCCACATTGCGGCTTTCTCGGGATTTGAGCCTAAAGGCCGCCATTTCCCCAGGTTTCTGGAGTGACACGTGTCAAGCAGGGATAGGTCCACTTTGGGCCATCCTGGGGCTGACACGTGTCATTCTCTG